GTCAGGGTGGGGGCGGGGGAGCTTGGAAAACACCGCACAAGGGGAATACAGTTTGTTCACAAACATAGAATGAATTTTAGAGCAAACGGTTGAGGATGAGATCAGGTGGTCTGAAGGTCAGTTTATGTCTTGCTGTCTTTTGTGATTGTTTGGATTTCTGTTTGTATCCTACTGAATGCTGCTTACTTCTCAAGTATCAACAGATAAATAGAGCATTTACTTAGACTTGGACAACTTTAATTTGCCAGCAACGTGTTGAAAGTTCGGACTTCAGCTCAATTTACAGGGTTTCCAACCTTGACTTGTTTATGCTGAGAAACAGGCAAGGAGAAGGGTGGGGAAAAGAATGAACATTGTCCATCTGCAGTGTTGCCCCATGACTCTTAACAGCATCTCCTTTTATTCACTAGCAAGCTGAGGCTAGGAGGTCAGTTATGTAGGCCACAGAGCTATTAAGTGATGCAACCGATATTCAAACCTGGGTCTATAGAGCAGGAGGAATTTGATTTGTCAAAAAGTGGTGATCAGACTGCTCATTCAGTCAATTAAAATAGGTGAACCAGAAAATGCAGGGTTAGGGTCAGGGGCTGTGATGAAAAAGCATCACCATTTGTTACTATGTGAAAATATGGGCCCAATATTCTGTATTTTTTTCTTTTTAAGAGAAGCTAATTATCAGTATGTTATATAAATTTGTCTCCATTTTAAAATGTTGGTCCTATATTAAAAAAATGTAAAACAATGTGTCTGGCAACACCGTGTTACAGAATACATCATTGGGTAGAATTTTGCTTAAGGGCTACTGGTATGTGACTTCTAGATTAAATAATCTCTAAAGTCTAAGCTTTAAAATGTCACGATTCTTTCTGATTCTTGATGAGGTATGATTTACTGTGATTCGCTTTCCTTTCATATCTTAAAGAATTTTTTCTGAATATTTATGTGAAATATTAATAATGAAGCCTTCTCTAAGTATCAGTATACTTTTAAGTTTGCTGGGGTACATGGGGAAGGATGAAGAGGATACTTCTGGCTTCTTGCTACTGGGAAAAGTGTTGCCCTCCCCTGAGCCTTCTAGTCCAGCTGCTGTTTTTCAGTGCCTCTCTACTATCAGAGGGGCTAAAAATGGCTCTGTCCACTTCCATGTATGCTTTCAACCCATGTGGATCCACATGCAATCAGTGTCTCTCCAAAGTGTGTAGAGCAACATATTAGTGAACCTTAAACCAATTCAGTGCAGCTTGACCAGTATTAAAATGAGAGAGACTGGGCTTCCCTGGTGGCGCAGTGGTTGAGAGTCCGCCTGCCAATGCAGGGGACACGGGTTTGTGTCCCGGTCCGGGAAGATCCCACATGCCGCGGAGCGGCTGGGCCCGTGAGCCATGGCCGCTGGGCCTGCGCGTCCAGAGCCTGTGCTCCGCAACGGGAGAGGCCACAACAGTGAGAGGCCCGCGTACCGCAAAAAAAAAAAAAAGAGAGACTGAGAAAGAGAATAGAGTAGAATAGAAGATGCATGCATGGCAAGTAGGAAGGGCAAGAATTGTTCTGTATGACTTTGTTTTAGCTGTATGTGTGTATCTGTGTTCCAGGTTGCATCATAAAATGTATTTCTTACTGACCTGGCAGTTAAATTTTGTAAGCACTGAGCTAGAGTGACTAAATATTGATCCTTGGTCGTTCCTCCTCGATCTAAGATGGCATAAATTCTAAGCTGGAAATTTGAAATAATTTTTACCACATGTTAATTACCTCCACACTTGGTCCTTTTTGTTCAGTCCCTTGAAAACATTAACAACTTCTCTATCTAAGGAGTCCGCAAACCCCTCTCCACCCCCGGGCCAGAGGTGATACACCATGAATTACCTGAAGTTAACACCCGCTACATGCTGTATTTGTTTAATTATTTCTAAGTTTGAATTCTGAAGAAATTGTATTCCAAAATTTAAAAATCTAAGTAGAATCTAGATTGTTGTGTGAGACTGTGGACCCTAGAGGGATACACAATCCTCTGTCTTGATAAGAATTTAATTGCAAATGAAAACTTCTCTTTTAAAGTTTCCAGAAATAATATAAAATTGTACTAATTTTCAACCTTCTGAAAACTATGAGGTTTGTCATAATGTTCACCTGATGGGATGAAATGCATGAAAAGCCCTTAGTGCTTATGTTAAGTATTTTACATTATCTATGGATTCATTGATAAAGCACTATCTTACATCCTTATTCTGGGGAGATTTCTGGATATGTTATGAACTACTTTAATAACTCCAAGCTTTCATTACTAGTTATAGGTTAAGAAGCTATTTTTATATGCAGTTGACCCTTGAACAATGCAGGTTTGAATTTCAGGGATCCACTTATACTTGGGTATTTTTCAGTAGTAAATATTATACTACCAAATCCTAGTTGGATGAATCTGCGGATGCCTAGGAACCGTGGAAATGGATGGCCAAGTACACGTTATGGGTAGATTTTCTACTTTGAGGAAGGTGGGCACTCCTAATCCCTACATTGTTCAAGGGTCAACTATACCGAAGTGAAAACTAGGCTTTTCAAAGTACTTCAGAGACAGATTTTTAAAACATTATATTGAAAAGATAGGATTATTTTGACCAGTTTACATTGATTTAGCTCTCTGGACAGATAATTGAGAGAGCAAACTCCAAAGGGCAGCAAACTGATGGGGTAGAACTTTTTTTGTATTGTTTCCATTACTAGTATAAAACTGATAAAACCAACTTTATGGGTATTTTCTCTAACAGTAGATGCTATGTATTGTGGGTCCAACATCCAGGCACAAATAGACACATTTGGAGGCCAGTGTACTCTTCCCATTAAAAGTGACTTTCTGCCTGTTGTTTGTTTGCTTTAGATCATATAAATATCTGATGAGTTCTTGTGAGATTATTTGTGATTCAACTTATTTTCTGTAAATACAGTGATAAAGTGATGCTATATAACTGTAATCCCTGGGATTGCTTAAAGACCAATGTAGAGTAAACAAGTGTATTATCTAGAATGTATTATTAGAAATAGTGATTCACTAGAATTACTAGAATAAGACCAAATCTTTCAGTGCTGCTAGGTAATGATTTATGATTTCAGATGCATGAACGCTGGATACAGTTTTAACGTCCTTAGGGGGAAACTGTTAATTTCTGATTAGTATAACACTTTAGAGAAAATAATCAATAGACGTGTTATAAACTTAAAATGAAACTTAGGAAGGAAGCAAGCTTAAATAATTTGCCCAGACTATTTCAGTGCCTTGAACACTATTTTGCACTTGGGATTGCATTTATATATTTATGTACCTATTGCCTCACCTAGACACTGAGGTCCTAGAGATGAGGATCCAGGTCTTAATCATCTCTGTGTCCCTAGCCAGTGTAGTTTCTAGCACATAACCTAGTTTTTCTGCAAATGCGGTCATGGACCACCTGAATCAGATTCATCTGGGGAGTTTTGTTACCAATTCATATTATCAGGACACACCCACAGATTTACTAAAAATCTCCAGAGGTGCACTCCAACCTAAAACCATCAACTAAATGCAATGACATTGATAAAGCAAGGATAGAAAGCAAGGCCTCCAGACCTCGCCTCCACCCACTTGCTGACATGCTCATAGCCTGCTGGATGAACTTTGGGCATCCACTAAGTGCCAGCTACTCTGGATACAAAGTTAAATGAAACACATTAACAGCTAAAAGCAGACAGCTGAGTTGGAAAGATTTGATTTGAGTCAGCCTTACCTACTTATTAATCACGTGAATTTCAGTATGTCGCCAAACTTCTCTAAGCCTGTTTCCTCTTTCGTAAAATGGAAATAATGACTGTGTCATAAGATTGATGTAAATACTAGATACGATAAGGCACGTAAAACGCTTTGCAAAGTGTTTGGAATAGAGTGTGCTCTTAATAAATGTTACCTTTTTTTTTTTCCTTTTTTAAATTAATGGGTATATGTTCTAGTCAGGGCTGAATTTCTTGGAAAATAAGAAGCACTTGAAAATGAGGAAAATAAGGAAGAGATTAGACAGGAGTTAGGTTTGTTTTCTATCACACCACCCCCAAAACATGGTGGTGTAACTTGTACTGACTCACAGTTTGGTGGGTTGGCAGTTGGGGTTGTGCTCAGTTGGGACAGCTCATCTCGGTGCTAGATTGTGTCCTCTGGGCACACTCACGTGTTGGCAGTCAGCTGGCAGTCAGTGGCCTCATTCATATGTTGACAGGAGCAATAGTTGCTAAGTGGGTCAGGAGTACTCATCATCTAGGAGACCGGCCTAGGCTCAGGCATGTGATAGTGGGAAAAATGGAGTCAAGGAAGTCCCGTGAGCAAGCACTTTTCAAGCCTCTGCTTGTATCAGGTTTACTAGAGTTTCATTAGCCAAAGCAAGGCACATGGGCAAGCGTAGTTGCAATGGGTAGAGAAAGACTTCACCACTTGATGGGTGAAAGGATGTGCATACAGGGATGGAAAGCATTTGTGGCCATTTTTGTTATCTGCACAGAATGGGTTTTACTGACTGCTTACTCTATATCAGGCTTTATGCTAGGTGATTTACATGTTATTCCTTTAATTCTCACAACAGTTTCCTGACATGTGTGGCAGTCCCATTTCATGGATGAGAAAACTGATGATAACTAAGAGACTTGTACCTAGTAAGCCCAAATTATTTGCCTCAAGTTGTGGAGTAGCCTTTTAGGGGCTGTCTCTTGTTGCTTAGGAGATCAGGTGATCAGCCCATGAGGCAGGTGTATGCTCTATTTCATAAAGATCTGGTTAAAACGGAGTTCCAGTGACTTGTTTTACTCTCACATTAATACCTTGAGCCATTGAGTCATTCGTTTATTTAGTATAGAAAAAAATTTAATTTTACTATTATTACGATTCTTTAAGACTTCCCAGAAGCTTATGAGAAGTATTTTAGTGGGTTTTTCTTTGTTTGTTTTGCCAGATTACCTACACAACCTGGATCTCACCACATTTGGACATGACTGAGCCTCTTCAATGGGCCAGATATTACTGGCAGCAGCTGACTGGTGGTGAAAACAGGGACGATCATGAGAGGCCATACAGCTATTCCTCTTTGCTTGCCTGCAGGGGCAAGTCCTCCCAGATCCCCAGATTGGCAGGAAAGCACCGGGTTGTTGTTCCCCACCTCCAGCCCTTCAAGGACGAGTATGAAAAGTTTTCTGGAACCTACGTGAATAACAGAATACGGACAACGAAGTACACGCTTTTGAATTTTGTGCCAAGAAATTTATTTGAACAATTTCACAGGTACTTTTATTTTGGGGGGAAAAAATCTTAGAATGGTCTTGGTCATTCTAATTGATATATAAGATTTTTCATTTTCATAACGTTGTTACCTAAGCCTAAGGCTTGTGACATTATCTTTGACAATTCTGGTAGTCTGTTGTGTAATGATGACCTCTTACATTCACATAACACTTTATAATTAATAAGATGCTTTCTCATGACAAGAGACGATATTGTTACCTTCATATTACAGATTAGGAAACTAAGTTTGGCACAGTGGTTTAGCCAGTGTGATGCCAAAAGCAGACGAGGGACTATAGCCTTGAGTCTTCTCTCTTGCTTTGATGTTTTTTCCATTAAACCATGGTGTATTTTAATTCTAGCTTTTTCTTCTTGATAATAGGAGAAAATAGAGCTCTGAAGCAAATTCAGATGTAAGCTGTAAGGTTAGGTGAAACAAAGACATAAATCAGAGTAATATGTATTTATGGAAGCCCTCCGATCAGGTTAGGTATTGAAGGGAATGCAAGGCTAAATGGTGCTTCTTTCCTTACAGTTTTATATTTAGCAAGGGAAACAAGATGTTTATACAATGAAAAGGCATAGTGGATGTGATGAGTGTTAAAAGGTGCTACCAACTAGGATGGAAACCTCAAAAAGAGAAATAATACTACTAGCCAGAGCAATAGAAGGGAAGTGGCATGTGAACTTAATTGTGAAGGTTAAGATGTTCAAGGCAGAGGTGTCTGCGAAGCACATTTCAGATGGAGGAAGGAATATGAGTAAAAGCAGAATGGCGGTAGCATAGAAGGTTTGTTGGAGGCCTGGGAAGTGGTCCTCTGTGACTAATGCAATTAGAGGCAAATTGAAGGCAGGAGAAAACATTTAGGAAAATGCTGCATATATCCCGGAGAGTTGTAATGGAGACCTGAATTTAGAACAATGTGGGGATAAAAAGGAGGATAATCTATTACAGATACTATGGATTAGATGTAGGGAATTAAGTGAAAGGAGTCAAAAGATGATGTGAACAAGTTGAGATGTGATGGTTTAACAGAAAAAGGAATGACAGGGGTAAAAAGCTCGGCTAGAAGATTATTTTGTTTTTGTAGATGATGAGTTTGAGATGCTAATATCAGTATAGAGATTCTCAGCATTTATTATTCATTCCACATACATTCATTCTCATTTTTCATTTTATGTACATTCCATATACATTCATGGAACAGTGGATATGGTTAAAGTACAGATGTGAATTTATTGAATTAATGGCTTTAACTGCTGTGGGTGTTTCTGTCTATGGGAGCTTGCAATCTAGTGCCCTTGATGGAATTAGAACCTGGAATTTGAACAGAGTTCAGGGCCTAGCCCTATAGATTTGGATGTAGTTCACATGGAAATCATTGAAGCCACAGAAATAGCAAAAAGGACTAAGAAAAAAATTTCAGGGTATAAGGAATTAGAGGTGAGGAAGGAGGGGTATGTGTAGATTATTCTGAGAAGTTTGGTTATGGGAAAAGTATGTGACACAAATTCAAGGAACCATGCAAGATTGAGATTTTGTTTGTTTCTTTTAAGGAAAGAGGCCACCTGAATTTGCCTTAGGGTCCAGTGGGGAAATATTTGAATATGTAAAATAGAGGAATAGAGGAAGTTCCTTAAAAAATTGGTTCTGAGTAGCATAAAAGCAGAAATGGAAACATTGATCTTAGCGAAAAGCAAACCCTCGGGCTTTTCTAATTATTGGGCTGGCCAAAAATGTTTGTTGGGGTTTTTCCGTAAGATGTTATGGAACTTCTTGGCCGACCCAGTATTTTGAGCCTTGTTTGAATCTTATGTTTGGACAATCAAATTAACTTCTGAAAGTTAGAGAGTTGGTTTTTGTTGTTGCTTTGTTTTTTGTTTTTACAACACATTAACTCTGAATTTCCTCTTAAGTTTTTTGAACTTTTGAAAAGAGAATAGTACTTCCTACTGTGCTTTATATTTATGTGTTACACAACTCAAGACTGTCACATTGCAATATTTACTATAATATATGTAATAAATAATATCTCACATTTATTAAAGTATGCTCAAGCCAGATGTCTGGGGGTGGGTAATAGATTGTTCATTCAGATTTGTTAGATTTTGCTAGTTCTCTCTGTTTTGTAGCATCCAAAATCAGCTGATAGAAACTTGTAGGGGAACACCGTCAGGTCTTTTGCC